ACGTTATTAACAACACCATCAAGTTCCTCACTAATAATTAACGCTTTCGTAGAGGATTATTTAACAGTGACACCCAATATTCCTACACCCTTTGTAATTACTGCACTAACTAGGACAGCATAGTAACAAGGGGCTTCCTCATGTAAGGGAACTCTTCTTGATCTCCGATGAACTTGGAAATTAAGCGATATTTCATTGACTTTAGAAAAAATATTTGGAAAATGGCTTCAGATATCTAATTATAATGGGAGGTTATGGAATAAGCGTTCGCTGATCTTATATTTTTTTTTGGTGGTACTAGGAGGAAAATTTTAGACCCGTAGTCTAAATCGGATCTCCTTATTGCCAGCGAGAGAAATGTTCATCATTTCATCCTCTTTGTAATAGGCTATTATTCAAAATTGTATCTTAACGCGACGCCGTGTAAGATAGGCGAACAGAGAAAAAATAGTGTCGAAAACCAAATGATAACGAATTTTATTGAATATATCGATTAAAATCTCAGAAAATACAAATCGGACCTGAATACTGCACCTAAGTTAATTGTTCATCATTTCTTCCTCTTTGTAATGAGTTATTATCCAAAATTGTATCTTAACGCGACGCCGTGTAAGATAGGCGAACAGAGAAAAAATAGTGTCGAAAACCAAATGATAACGAATTTTATTGAAGATATGGATTAAAATATCTCAGAAAATAAAAATCGGACCTGAATACTGCACCTAAGGTAATTGTTCAGCATTTCATCCTCTTTGTAATGAGTTATTATCCAAAATTGTATCTTAACGCGACACCGTATTAAGTAGGCGAAAAGAGAAAAAATGTCGAAAACCAAATTATAACGAGGTTTGTTGAATATATCGATTAAAATCTCAGAAAATACAAATCGGACCTGTATACTGTAAGCGAGGGAAATGTTCATTTCATAATTTTTTTTTTAGAAAAATAAATTTATTCTGGGATGAAGTCCACCCCCAAAAAAACAAAAGGTTACAGAACAAACCTTCTGGACAGAAGAACTAAATTAAATAAAAAGAGTCACATTAAATAAGTAAAAAAAACCTTATGAAACTAACAAAATATACAAAACCGAACTGAAGAAACTATATAAAAAATATCTATAACATCATACAATAAAGGAATTAAACAAAATAATAGCTGCTTAGCTGAAAAATAAATAAAAAGTATTATAAAACATAGGAAGAAAAGCAATAAATCAAAAATAAGTTCCTCTTATAAATGGACACTAAGTAAAAATAAATAATATAGAGTAAAACACTAAGCGTAGATAATTTTTCTTTCTTTCTATCAAAGGTGGGGAAACATTGGATTTGTAAGAGGTGTTAAAAAATATATTTTGTTCGGAATCATACTCGTTTAGTCTTGTTTAACGAGAATATTCCACGTATCAAATTTTAACCCTTTTTATCAAATTATTAACATTTATTTAAAACTTCGTACATTTTCTTACATTCATACATTTTCATTTCTATGGTTACCAGGACATGAGGGTGTATACGGAAATGAAAGTGCAGATCAAATTGCTCCAGATAATACCAAAGCAATAAGAATTAATGTTAAAGTTCCAAAAAAAGACATTTTCCGTATACTTAGTAAAAAAATTATTAATTAATGGCAGGATATGACTGAGAGTCCCAAAACAAAGGGAGAGACCAATATATAATCCATCCCAAAATTTCCTTAAAACCGTGTTTGGCCTCTATTAGAATATGTTTAGAAATAAGAGAGGTGACAAATCTAATTAGGTTGAGGATCAATCATGGGAACACAAATAAATTCTTAGACCTGATCCAAATAATGGTGACACCAATAGTCCAGTCAATGAACGTTCGAAAAGGGGATATAGAAGGAAATAGCGACCTAGTAGGTTATTTTTTTCGGGTTTTCGCTTATATCAGCAAAACTATCCGTCGTATCTACAAAAGTGTTCTATACAAACTTAACGCTGATAATATTTCCAATATAATTGAATTTATACTTTTTTCGCTATCTCGCTTAGTTTCTGAGATATTCGTCCTTAACTACGGCTAATCTATGAAAAAAAAATTTTACCTCGTGTTTTCCTATTTTTCGAGGATTCGCTAATATCAGGAAAGCTATCCATATATTCTATACAAAATTAAATTTAATAAAATTTTCAATATGATCGATTACATAACTTTTTTTATTGTAATTTATATCAAAGAAATAATAATACAAATATTTGGTTGAAAACGGTCATTTTTTTTTATACACCCTTTTGATTTCGGTTCAAATTTATTAGAAGAGTTGTATATAGAATTTACCATTCTTTAGATCTATTTGAAATTAAATTCTTTCAAAATTAAAACTTTTTTAGCTTTGCCTAATTAAAAGTTTATTTTCCCTTTGCTTTTACCTTTGTGTTCGACATACTCTAAGGACTTCCTGGATCGTGGATGGAGTTCTGTCCTGTGTTCTTCCGAGTTGAGTTCACAGCTGCCGGTTTATATAAAGCCTATGGATTCCTTTTGTCAATGTTACAAAAGTCTTGGCCGGATATGGTTCTCCTCTGTCCTATTGCTTTTATCCTAGGTCCTTTGTCCTTCTCTCCCTTCTTTGAAACGTCATTTAATTAAGTCTTCTCCTGAAGTCTGCTTAGTCTGGAAGGACTTTTTGTAAGTAATTCCGCCTTTGGCACTGACAAGATGACATTTATTTATTTATTTTTTTTTTTAATACTTTTTGAAGATTTTGATGAATAGTTAGAAAATTAAGTGATTTTTTAAAGTTTAGTAGGAAAAAACAAGTATTTTTTTGTAATTCCTACGAATAATAAAAATATCCATTAAAAAAGCATTTGCTTGGCTGCATTGATAAAATCAAATTAAATTAAAGAACAATAATTTTTAATCGTAATTGTGGAGAAAATATCATTCCATTTGAAATCAACCAATTTGAATTAATTTTGTTGCTTGATATTTTTAATTTTTATAATTTTTGTACCAGATATTCCATATTTTTTGAGGCCCACAGTTTTTTCTAGGTGACCATATTTATTTTTCTATTCGACTGAAAACATGTTTTGTGAAAATGCCTGTAACTCTGGTTATTTTGTAGATATCAACCCAAAATAAAAACTGAAATAATTTAGAATATGTTTCCTACATTTGTGTTGATCATTACATCACCTAAAAAGAAGGGAAAGTAGTTTAAACAAATCATGAAAGTTGACAAAAAAAAAGTGACTTTTATGGTTGCAAAATTCACATTTTTGTCTATCACACTTTCCTGCCTTTTTAGGTGATGTATTGATCAATAGAAATGTAGGAAAATACTATAAATTATTTCAGTTTTTATATTAGCTTGATATCTACAAAATAATCAGAATTATAGACATTTTTCAAAAATATGAGCCTCAAAAAAATTTTAACTAGTTTTGAATTCTCAAATAAATATAAAATAACTGGTAAAAAAATATAAAAATGGATTGACCCTACACAGGATGTCCCGCAAGTAGAGGGAAATATTTAAAAAGTTGAAAGCAGACGTCAAAATCTACAAAAAAGTTCATATAAACAATTTCAAGCAGAAAAGTAGGATATTTAAGATTTGTCTTTTTTTTTTTAAGAGATTAACATTTTTACTTGGATAGGAACCGATTGGATTAAGTAATTAAATATTGCTCCATTGTAAACTAGAAAAAAATTTAATTTAAACGAAAGTAGAATTTGCCATTTTTGAAACCATTTAAAGAGGACAATTGCGCGGCTAAACTAAGCTAACTTCTGGTTTTAAAAAAAATCAAAAAATTTTCTTGATTTTTTTAATCATCATTCAATTATACTACAGATACCTCACTTTTAGAAAAACTTCCTCTTTTAATAAGATTTAAGTTAATATTATTTAAATTAAGGATTATTATGAAAACAAATTTAAATTCACCTCAAGTGTAAAAAATAATGTGATTTTTTATCCTTTCACCTAAAAGTGTTTTCAGCAAAAAATGTCTTTGCTTATGACAGATGTGCGTGGATAAATGAAGCTTTAAAAAAAAAAAAAAACTACAATTAACAGTTGCTAAGCTTTTATTTTTTGTTTTTTTATGATTTGGGATGTATTATAATAGAGAAAATATCTAAATGAAACTGAACTTATAATCATTGATGATTGATATATAATAAATTTTTAAATAAACAGCGAAGGGTGATGATTAATGATTCTTCCCATTTGTACTGTTCTGTAAATTATCTGTATTTAAAATCCACTAAGACAGTTATAGCTGCATTATTGCTAACATATTCAAATTATACCATATTATAAAACGGATTTTTAAAAATTTATTCTAGAGATTTACAACTGCATAAATTTAAAAATACATCCAGTAAATGTGCAAACGGTAATAATACAATCACATGAAAACGCTTGTTGAAAAACAACTCGAGGCCATCTTCTTTTCAGAGGCCTTGGAGGGTTATCAAGTATCGAATAGGAAGCATGGTTTGAAACAACAGAGTTCAGATAGTTTTGAAGTTTGTTATGGAAGGATAGATATCTGGATTGGGCTAAATCCGAAACATAAAGTACGTTAAGGTCGTTACGAATAATTTTATTTGTGACAAAGTAAGGAGCATTGAGGATTTTGGATTGTATCGATTGGATAAGAGAGGAATTCGATGATTTAGTGGAGCCCCAAAGCTCAATTCTGTAAGTCCAGTAAGTTCAATTCCTTATTATAGTTATGTATGAATCTTTTGTAATATATAGAAAGTTTAGAGCGTTTGTATAGTAAGTGCTGGAGTAGTCGAAAACGTCGAGCAGTTTCTTGTATGAGGATTTTAAGTGAGTCCAGATGTACAGATGGAGTCTTAGGAATTGGATTTATTCAATACGGATAAGTGGGAAATTGTTAAAGGATACTGTAGGATAGGAAGAGATAAAGGATAAATAAATTTATTATTTGAATTTACATATAATCAAATCTTATATATAATTAACTATTGAGTATAACTGGGTTTCAGGTAAACCTCTATGGAACTCGACATACACGGATCAACTTAAGAGAGATCTCTTGGCCACCTACGACAAGTTCGCTCGGCCTGCCCAGCACACTAATATGACAACCGTCACCATAGACCTGGGTCTGAAACACGTTCATCTTGTGAGTATTTTATAAATGATAAATAATACATAATTAAAGTTATACTCCTAAGCAAACTATCAAATCATAATCTTAATCATCCTACATATCCTTGACTTTATTCCCTCAAAATTCTCAAATATTGACCAGAAGATTGTATTAGATAGCTCCCAGTATTTACTCCTTTATGTGACATTGTGTGAGGGAATGAGAAGGAATATATAACAATGTAATTTTGCACGATGAACAATCGACAATTTTGCACGATGAACAATCGACAATTTTGCACGATGAACAATCGACAATTTTGCACGTCTCATATCGATAAACAATCGATGAAGAAGGGAGAAGGGAATGGGTCGAGCAGGTAGCAACAGCTGGAGAAGAACGCCGAAGAAGAGAACTCACTTGAGGCTGGGACATTAAGGAAATAGGTTACCTGATAAGAGAAGTCTACTACACTGAAGATTAAGAAGATCCAGTTGTAGAAATAAATTAATTTGTTGTGCATGAGTGAAAAGTCATTTATTTATTTAGTTGTCCTATATGCTTCACAATTGAAGAATAACCAACCAGGTATATATATATATTCTTATTGTTTCTTGTCACTCAGTGTCACAAAAGTATTAGATTCTCGAATTCCCAACAACAGTTAAATACCATCAAAAAGTCTGTATCCAATGCCGGGGATCTGTTTTAATATTCACGAGTGTAAATAACCTAGTCCTCCGATAAAAACGGAAGGAATATTCACGATTCCCGCCAAAACAAATTATTTACATTTAACTTTTAATAAGTTATTTACAAGAGTATTCGCGGTCCAAATCCTAGCTCTAACCATTTATAATCACAAAGGCTAGAATGTCAGTGGGGCCAAGATATTTTGTAAATATTTTATTGGATTCTTGTCAAGTCCTGATCGTATGAGACTCGAGTGCCCTCCCTCAGTATCCACTGGCTTCTAAATAGTAACGGAACTGAGAAAGGCGCAGGGATCTCCTGGAGTCTTGCCTGGTCCTACAAAAGTGGAGGAAAAGACTCGGCTTGAGCTCTTTGGGCTGACTTTTAATAAAAACGAGTTAATTTTATGATTTATTATACCTTATTTAAATTTCACTTTAAGATGATTTTTGTAACTAATTTTCCGGTTTACTTGACATAAATAGAATTCTAATATCTATAGCATGTAAAAAAGATGTATTTCTCAAATAAAATTTCAAAAAAATATTGTAAAAAAAAATATTACATCACACAACATTCACTAACCACTCTACGTTCAACAGAAATTAATTTTTCAAAATTTAACAAATTTTAAGGATACTAATTTAATTACTAATTCAGTTGAACTTAATATTATAAATTATGACAATATTATGCATTATATCATAAATTTATATACATCTGCTCACCGAATAGGTGATTTCTCATCTCGATTAATCTATCATTAATCGATCCTGGAATTCCACCATCCCCTTTTATGTCCATCACTCTTACCTACCAATACCTTACCCACCTTTAAATCCTACCTATTCAATCACTTCCTATCCATCCAATTCTCGAACAATTGTACATTGCTTTTCCTGTAAATATAATACATATTTATACATACATATACATATATATTTATACATATACAATATATATATATATATATATATATATATATATATATATATATATATATATATATATATATATATATTTAAACTTAACTATTTAATTGAGATGTATGTGCTTAGTAGCTTAATATATGTGCTAGTGGACGGTGCTGAGACTGTCGGTGTGTCCCTGGCCTGATCGAAGCTCTATTTTTTAAAATTCTAGCTTTGAAGAGGTTCCCATGGTTGACTAATAAAAAGAAAATACCGGGATCGAAACGTCAGTAAACAGAAGAAATGAACATTCAATAGTTTATTAAATAATAATTAAATGATCTTATTCCCAATTAAATAGTTAAGTTTAAATTTAATACTCAAAGGTCGATTAAGGAAAATTTGTAAATATATATATAAATTATTAGTGTATAAATTTGTTTTTCAGTATTATTTTTTCTTTTTAATTTCATTTCAGTTAGAAGTTGATTGATATTTTTTTTATATTTATATTTCTTTATTTTATTATTCTTTTTATAAAACTCTGAGACTTTAAAACTCACAATTGTATTATTATGAAGGGACATGCCCAAAAATAAATATAGCATAGTTTTAGTTTATTTAGTCAGTGCAGGCAGGCCTTACTCGACTACTTAGACATTAACTACAAAAGTTAAAAATTATTAATTTGTCAGATTATTTTAATGAGTCAGAGACCTATTTAATATTAATTTTACATCGACACTACGAGTTGAATCAAATTCGTTAGGGACGTTTTAGAGAAAATTGAAAAAATATGTAAAATCTATAATATAAAGTGCTGTAACTTCTCAAGTGTTTCCCTTCAAATAAATAATTTCAGTGTCGAACGTCTTTTTTTTTTTTCAGTTATACCATACATAGAATTTATATACAAACAAGAGACATCAGAGTTCCAGGTTTCTGTTATTATAAATATATTTGTTTCATTGTTGTTGATGGAACTATTTTAGATTGGAGAAGTCCTTGACACATGCCGTATTCAGGAAACGCAGCCAAGACAGGAACTGCACTGTGATATCACAACCACCGCCATTAAAATCGTTCCTATTCTCGATTATAACAGATAAGATAGAAATATTTGACATTCAAATGAAATAAACAACATAGTTTCTGTTATTTAAGGAAATATATTTTTTTAAATAACAAACCAACGATATGCACACTTTAAAAATAAAATATTATATATAAATAATATTTTATTTCATACTGGTCAATCAATATCTCATGATATGAAGGCATGGAGGTTAAGATGAGTGGGACATGTAAGCTATGTCAATCTATCTGGATGATTTTATACATCATATAAAAAAAAAATGCGGGTATTGTGGCAGAAAGTATGGCAACAAAAAGAAACCAAATTAAAAGGAATAAAAAGCCACTGTTCCAAATGGAAAACTAGCAACCGACTCTCTAGAAAAGAAGAGACAGTCCTCTGCCTCTTACGAATTGGGCATTTTGAATTTTCACAGAGCTATTTACTAGGAGGACTAGATCCACCGACTTGCGAGAGCTGTAAGGTGGAAAGAACTGACCAACACATCATCCAAGACTGCCCGGCATTTAAGAATGTAAGGAAAAATCTCGATATGGCTCAGAGCCTAAAAGAAAACCTCAGTGACAACGAAAATGCCGTGAAAAAAACCTCACAATTTTTAAAAATAATAAAGTTCTACAATAGAGTATAAATAGGAAGTGTTGCCTATGACCCTGCAGGGTAGAGGCAACAATAAAAACAAATAGATAAATAAATAATATAGTATTGTTTTAAAACCTCATATCATCAAATATTAAATTATTTTTAGTAATATAATTATATTAAATGTTGGGTTTATATAATTGATGTTTCATATACTTTTTATAGGAAACTGACTTTGTTCCAGGATGACAGCAAATCTTTGATGACGGTCAACGCTTGGGTCAAACTTGTGAGTAACCTGATATATTATTATAATTGATCAATCGATTAAAATCGATTTAGTTCGACTGTTCTGTTTGCAGATGTGGCGCGACGAGAAGCTGCAATGGAACTCGAGCGATTACGGTGGCCTGAAAGAGCTCCATTTGGCAGACCATGAGATCTGGCAGCCTGATGTGGTACTATACAATAGGTGAGTCCATAACTTCTTCTTAATACATTCAACTTATAGGCTACATCAGCAAAACACACCTTATTCGTACAAATAATCTTATCAAACCAGTCTAATCAACAAACACAAATAATGAAACTTCATACAAAACCACCAGTGTTAAAGTAACAATTTATTTAATAAACGATTGACTTATTCCAATGGAAAGTATTCCTCCAATTTAATAGTTAAGAAATTAAACACAACTGTTCCTGAACTCAAGACTCACGACTCAAGACTCGAGATCTATTTGTTTGGAGGCAAAGATTTGTAGATCGCTCCCTTATTCAGAGTATAGAAAAATTTACTGAGTGTACAGAAGTCATAAAAGACTGATGTCAATCTTAGGACAAAAATAGTAATATTCAGTGAAAAAAAATTATTTTGTTTTAAACTAGATATTTGTTGCAAAAATCGATAGTTCTAAAGTTATTATAGAGGCACCCTTTGTTTTACCAAACGAAGGTGAATTTCTACAAAACGATATGTGGTTTTACAATTAACTACAAAGAATAATGCTTCTATATTGCTGCCATAATGCATATGAGTTATTTATTCATTATCAGAACAAATGATTTTTTTAGGTACGGAAGACTAATTAATCTAAATAATTAAAAAGAAAAGTATTGTTAGATACTATTGGGGCAGCCTGGTTTATGAAACCAACTCAGCTATAATTAGAACAAATATTAACAGGATATGAAATAAATACAAACAACATTATCAGGACGGAGACAGGATAACATTTCATTGCTCATCTTATAGTGAACATTTAAAACTTTTTCTTAATAATGATCAGATCCCCCAATATTTGTTGATGCCGACTAATTTGAAATATACGAAACTATTAATGCAGATCCATCTCTCGGGAAAATATATGATCAAGATTTCTGTTAACAATAAAATTGTGAAAACGAAATACTTCATCATATATTAATTAAATACCCAATTTATAGTAGTTTAAGGTTAAGGATAATAATGTTCGTTATTTTGTGATAGACTTCATTTCTATAGGGTTCTTCCCTTAAAACAAATAGAGATTAAATTAAAATTAAATTAATTAAAAAGAAAAACAAAATTAGTTTGAAATGTCTCGCATAGCAATACTAATAATTTTTTTCTCATCTTCTCCGCCTTTCCAGATATATGTGGTTTTCCCATAACAGGAGAGAGGGCGGAGAATTAATGATAGAGTTAAAAGTTCCCCGTATCGAGATCCGATTTCGTAATCTTCGGTTTATCGATTGCCGGGTATCGTGTATTTCGGGGGCGGGGTGGCCGAATAGACTAATGGAGTGTGCACTGCACCGTGAGTTGCCCTGCAACTAGATAAACGAAGTTATGAGAGATAAAAATATACGAGTTCGCGTCCTGATGACGGAGAGGATTTTAAATCCCCCGTCCTAAACCGCCCGTTCTGCCACAGCTGCTGTTGAAGAAAGATGCCGAGCCAGTCTGAACGCTCAATGAAATCACTTTGAACAACATTAAATATGAAATTAATGTTTACGTATAAATAATAAAGTATTTGGAACAAATAAATAAGTTATATTTACTTAATATAACGTAACTAATTCATAAAAATGAAAATATTTAGGTGTGAATATCTCCTAAACAAAGCGTTTACGGACATACCTTCCGAGGAAATTTTTTTCTTGTTTTTAGGTCCTTAATTCATATTTTGAGTTTGGCCACTTAACCCTGAAACGCCGTGTATAGATATTTATAAACTGTATATGTATTTACATATATGACAAAAAAAAATTTTAATAAAAAAAAAATTATTTTAATTTTAAAAAAATAGGTAATTAAAAAGATAAGTAATTAAAAAGTATTAGTAAAAAGTAGTAATTAAAAAATAGGTAATATTTTTTTTAATTTAAAAAAAAATTTAATAATAAAAAAAATTTAAAATAATTTTGCTGTGCCGAATGGTAAGCGTCCGAGGGGTAGACCGAAGCGAAGGTGGGAAGATTGCATTAAAGCCGATCTGAAGGGACTGGGTTTGGACGGCGAACGGTGGAGGGAGGTGTGTAACAAGCGATTGGTGGTGTCGGCATCGAACCTTCGGGTTCGCTAAGCCTTATTATTATTATTATTAAAAAAAAATAGGAGTCTTCGAAAATAAATCTGCCCCGGTCCCCATTTACTTAGGGTCCACAAAAATACATCCGCAGCAGGCACAAAGTTTCTAGAGAAGCCACTTTATGATAAACATATTCCTATTTTTAATCTGGCAAATTATTAATATAGCACAAACGTCTCAGACTCAAACTAGATTTTCCATCTCTGATTATGTGATAGAGGATAGATCTGCTTGATAGATGGACAACCTGTAGCGCCTGCGTTTGATAGTCGACATTATTCTGATGGATGCGATCCTCTCACCCTGTGCAACCTCACAAATCATAATACGTCTTGTCTACCTTTTATAATACTGGTGCTTAGTCACCAAGATTTGTTATGGCAATAAGTGATTGATGTATCGGGGTTATTACCAGAAAGGATTTATATCCAGTATTACATTTTCAGATAGACTGATTTAAATGTCATATTTTATAAATTACATTAAAAGACAGGCCATTTTTCGTTTAAAACCGCTAAAAAAAATTACTGGAGCGATTTACACGCGTTTCTTTACAAAATGAGCTGTGTAGTCTCGAGATGATTTTAATCCTCGATCGATAGAAAGGAAGGCAATGAACCAGGAGTCAAAAAATAAAATCGTCACTAAGTCCATTCAACTTCTTGTTTTCTCTCTTGTTTTTCCCCCATATCTGGCTGTATGGTGTACGGTGGACTCTCCGGAGATTTCGAGGCCAAACTTAAACGCCTAATGAATTGCGCATTACGTTTTGTTTTCGGAATCTCAAGAGATACGCATATTACCCAGTATTACACCGAGTGGAAGTGGCTCCTTTCTGTACCAGATCATTAGAACTCATTGACCCTCCTATATTTTTCACAGCTTACAATTTAAATACTCCATCCAATCCTGTCCCACTAGATCTCGTACTTCCGACCTCTATCCTCCTCCTCACCGAACTGCTGCGTTTGATAAGTCATTTGCAATTCAAGCCGCCTCCTTCTGGAATTCCATTCCTGCTGATATTCGACATGTACAATAAGTTTCCTCTTTCAAACCTCTCCTCTTTAAAAACCTATTCCTTTCTCAATCCGCCTGATTACGAAATATACCTAAGACAGCTATGTAAGTACCCTCAGAAAATATTTCTATTATTTTAGTTTTCTGTGTTTGTACTATATATATGTGTACGCTTTTCATGTCTTTCTCTCTCTCTCCTTCTGTATTTTTACTTTTAAATCACTAATAAATAAATAATACCAATAACATCTTCTGGACACTTTCAAAATATTTATATTATAGACAGGAATAATTAAAAAGAAAATAGGTCCAATATTAGTAAAGGTGAGGCAAATAATTATGTATTGGCTTCGTACCCAAAGCGGCAGAGAATGTCGTGTCAGTACACACATCAGATTGTTTTTTGAAATTATGTATTATTATAATTGAATTATATTAATTAATTTTTCGTTTAAAACCGCAAATAAAACTACTCGAGCGATTTACACGTGTTTCTTTGCAAAATTATCTGTGTGGTCTCGAGATGGTTTTAATCCTCGATCTAATAAATAGAAAGGAAGGCAATGAACCAGGAGTCAAAAAATAAAATCGTCACTAAGTCCATTCAACTCCTAGTTTTCTCTCTTGTTTTTCCCCCATTTCTGGCTTTATGGTGTACGGTGGACTCTCCGGAGATTTCGAGGCCAAACTTAAACGCCTAATGAATTGCGCATTACGTTTTGTTTTCGGAATCTCAAGAGATACGCATATTACCCAGTATTACACCGAGTGGAAGTGGCTCCTTTCTGTACCAGATCATTAGTACTCATTGACCCTGCTATATTTTTCACAGCTTACAATTTAAATACTCCATCCAATCCCGTCACGCCACATCTCGTACGTCCGACCTCTGTCCTCCTCACCGAACTGCTGCGTTTGACAAGTCATTTGCAATTCAAGCCGCCTCCTTCTGGAATTCCATTCCTGCTGATATTCGACATGTACAATCAGTTTCCTCCTTCTAATATAGTAATGTATTCAGTATTTATAATTTGTTCTAAAGGGATAACAGTCCCATAATAATAAGGGTAAGCGAACCCGAAGGTTCGATTCCGATACACCAATCGATGTCTATATTGATCAATCCACCGTGAGACTAAATGTTCCTGATCCTGCTATTAACGTTTTCATGAAAATAATTGAAGCAATCAGCAGGTTTCTTTATTTTAAACGTGTATTTTTAGACGAAAAACATTTATTTTGTTACTTGTAAATACAGACTAGTTTCTATAATACAGATCTGGATGAAAAAACACAGTTTCATAAATAATTTTATGAATAACACTCCATTTTTTTATAAATAAAAAGTGTATTTAAGCAATTATGTTTATTATAAAATATCTCAGATCATGGAAAAACTTTAAAACAATTAACTGTGGTCATTTTTGCTAAAAACAGGGTCTGTTTAGTTAACACGATATAAAATCCCATTATGTGTTTAAACAACTTGACGTAAATCTCAACATTTTTTCTAATAAATCTCCACTTAATTAATATGAACTTAAAGCTTATTAAATGGAGACGTTTTTATAAAAATTGGAGTGTCTGTAGTATAGTGGAATAATGATTTAAAAAATCGGGAATAATTTATGATTTTTTTAAAAACTATAATTAGCTTAGTTTAGCCGCTCAAAAGTCCTCTTTGAATAGTTTAAATAATGACAAACTCTATTTTTATTTTAAATAAATTTTATCTAGTTTACTATGGAGCAATTGTTAATTATTTAAATTAAATATTTCTTTAGTTATCGCTTCCTATCAACAAAGAACACAAAACTCGGTTTCCTACGTTTTAGCTGAAAATTGGCCTTTGTTTATATGATTTTTTTTTTTTAGC